GGACCGGTACGGCCGCACTGTGACTCAGTAAGCCCTGCCGTAGGCGCTCGTATAGTAGATCAGTACGGCGGCGCGATCACGATCATAGTAGCCCGCCTGTCCATGGCGCTCGTAGATACCGTACCGCGCGCGCACATCATTGTAGCCCCTGCATGGGCTCGTAAGACGGAAGAGTCACGGCCCGCGTGAGCGTCATGAGACCCTGTCAGCGCTGACGTAGAGACAGTCTCACCGAGTGCGTGACGACGGTCACAGTGGGACTTCATGTAGGGCCGCTGATCATGGCGCTCGAACCGAACGGTTACGGCGCGCGTCCACGTCAATTAGCCCCTCGTAAGCGGGAGCATCGATAGAGCCTGGTACGCGCGCAGCGTGGGGACGTGCATGTAGGGCCCTGTCATGGCGCTACGTAGAGACCGTAACGGCGCGCGCTACGAACGCGATCACGAAGTCATGTTAGCCCGCTGTCATAGGCGCACGTAAGAACCGTAACGGGCGCGTGAGCGTCATGAAAGCGCCCTGCATTGGGGCTCGTGAAGAGACCGTACGGCGCGCGTGCACGCTCATCGTACCCCTGTCATAGGCGGCGTCGTAGAGACCGGTACGCGCGCGTGAAGCGGTCAGCGGCTCAATGTAGGCCCTCGTGCGATGGCGCTCGTAGAGAACCGCCTGGTACGGCGCATGGCGTGACGTCATGCATACCCCGTGATGAAGCGCTACGTGAGACAGTACGGACGACGTTAGAGGTCACGTCATTGTAGCCACTGTCATGGCGTCGTAGAGCACCGTGGACGCGCGCGCGACGTCATGTAGCCCCTGTCATGGCGCCTCGTGAAGCAGACGTTCGGAACGCGGCGTAGACGATTAATTACGGCCGCCTGTCATGGTCGGCTCGACAGACCGCGTACGGTCCGCGCCGTGACGTCATTAGGCGCGCCTGTCAATGGCGGGCTCATTCAGAGGAAACGCTACGGGCTCGCGGCGTGCGGACGTCATGTAGAGCCCGCTGTCATGCGCGCTCGGTCAGAGGACCGTACGGCCCGCGCTGACGGAGGTCACGTCATGTAAGCCCTGAGTCCATGAGCGTCTCATGTAAGAGAACTCGGTTACGGCGTGCGTGGATGCGGTGCCACGTCAATGTAGCCCCTGTCATGGCGCTGAGTAGAGACCCGTAACGGCGCAGCGTCACGTCATATAGCCCTGTCACTGGCGGGCTCGTAGAGACGCTACATGCGTGGCGGATGCGGCTCACGTCATGTAGCCGTCCCTGTCATGGCGCTCGTAGAGACCGTTACAGGCGCGTACGCACGTATGTAAGACCCTGCATGGCGGCTCGTAGAGACCGCAGTGCACGGCGCGGACGTCGCATTAAGACCCCTGTCATGGCGCCGTAGAGACGGCGTACGGCGCGCCGTGCTCACGGTCATTAGCCGCCGTTCCATGAGCGCTCGAGAGACCGTACGGCGCGCCCAGTCACGTCATTAGCCCCTGTCATGGACGCTCGTCAGAGACAAGTAGCGCACCGCAGTCACGTCATGTGCCGCCTGTCATGGGCTGTAGAACGGTGACGTGCCCGACACGTCATTAGCCCCTGTCATGTGCGCTCACGTAGAAGACAGTATCGGGCACGCGTCCAAGTATGTACGGCCCTGCTTCATGGCGCCTCGTAGATAAACCGACGGCGCGCGTCACGCCCTGCATGACTAGCGCCTTCATGGCGCTCGTAGAGACCGCGCGGCGCGCGTCACGTCATGTAGCCCCTGTCATGGCGTCGAGAGACGTATCGGCGCGCAGAGTCTACGTGCATGTAGCCCTCCTGTCATGGCGCTCGTAGAGAACCTACGGCGTGCGTGACGCGGTTCACGTCTGTAGCCCTGTGTCATGGCGCTCAGTGAGAGACCATACGGGTGCGTGATCGTCATGTATCCGCCGGCTGTCAATGGCGCTCACGTAGAGACCGGTACGGCGTGCGGACAGTCATGTAGCCCTGTCATGGCGCTCGTAGAGACCCGTGACGGCGCGCGTCTGATCGTCCAGTTTAGCGCCGTTCCATTGGCGGCTAGTAGAGACGTCACGCGTGCGTGACGTCATGTAACGCCGCTGTCATTGGCGCTCGTAGAGACCGTACGGCGGCGCTCACGCTCATGTAGCCCGACTGTCATGGCGCTCGTGAGAAGACCGTACGGCGTGCGTGACGGCGTCGACGTCATTAGCCGCGGCCTGTCATCGTACGCTCGCGTAGAGACGCATTGACGCGTTGGCGCTGGAACGTCATGTAGCCCCTGGTCATGGCGCTCGTAGAGACAGCCGTCACGGCGCGGCGCACAACGTCATGTCCCTGTCATGGCCTCGTAGAGCGAGGGCCCCACGGCCGTGGAGAAAAAGAGTGGCCGAGTTGGATAAATTTGTAACCATGTGAAGGAGCGCAACCAGGTGGGCTGATCACTCGAATAGAGCCGGAATGTAGCCGCCAGTACGCGGATAGCAGTACACGGGTCTGGGGCCCCGGGAGCGTGCGCGCGTCACGTCATGTAGCCGCTGTCATGGCACTCGTAGAGACCGCGTACGGCCGCGTCACGTCATGTAAGCAGCCCTGTCATGCGGCTCGTAGAGACCCGTACACGCGCGTGAGCGTCAGTAGGGCCCCTGTCATCGGCGCTCCGTAGAGACCGTACTCGCTGCGCCGTCATATAGCCCTTAGTCATGGCGCCGGTAGAGACCGTACGGGCGGCCGCCGTGCACGTTGCATGTCACCCCTGTCATGGCAACTCGTGAGAGACCAGTACGGGCGCTGTGAACGATCATGTATGCCACTGTACATGGCGCTTCTAGAGAAACGTCACGCGCGCTGCAGTACACGTCATGTAGCCCGTCATGAGCTCGTGAGAGAGGTAGCAAGCGTCCACTTCATGCGAGCCTGTCAATGGCGCTCGTAAGACCGTACGGCGCTGCGTCTGACATCAATGTAGCCCTGTCATGGCTCGTATAGCCGTTAAACGCCGCTTGACTCATGTAGGCGCCCTGTATGGCGCTCGTAGAGGACCGGTGACGGCGGCGCGTCCATCTCATGCTAGCGGCCCGTCTATGCGCTCGTAAGACCGACGATCGCGTGCGTCTACGTCATGTAGCCGCCTGTCATGGCGCTCGTAGAGACGCGTAAAAGAAGGCGCTGCGTGCCACGTGCGTATCCCCTGTCATGGCGCTCGTAGAGCCGGTACGACGTGCGTGACGTCCATGTAGCCTGGCATGGGCGCTGTAGCATACCGTACGGCAGCGTGTTGGACGATCAATGTAGGCGCCTGGTCTGCGCTTCAGGTAGAGACGGTGACGGTCGTGGCGTGACGTCATGTAGGCCGCGCTGTTCATGGTCGTTAGAGACCGACGGCGCGCGTGCACGTCAATGTAGCCCCGTCATGGCTCGTCAGAGACCCGTACGGACGCGGCGTGTAGACGTCTGTACGCTGTCATGGCGCGTCAGAGACCGAGCGGCGCGCGTCCGTCATGTAGCCCGCCGGTCATGGCGCTCGTCGAGAGACCGCGTAAGCGCGCGTGACTCATGTAGCCCGCTGGTCATGGCGCTCGTCAAGAGACGGTACGCGCGCGTGCACGTATGTACCCCGTCATTGCGCTCGTAGAGACGCGTACGGCCAGCCCGTCACGTTCATAGTAGCCCTGTCATGCGCTCAAGAGAGACGTACGGCGCGCCGTCCACATCAATGTAAGCCAGCCTCTCATTGCGCTGCGAGAGATGTAAACGCGCGGGACGTATTTAGCCCCTGTCATGCGCTCGAGAGACTGGTACGGCGCAGCGTCACGTCATGTAGGCTCCGCTGTCATGGCGCTCGTAGAGACCGTGTAACAGGTCCGGCGTCACGGTGATTTAGACCAGCTGTCATGGCATCGTAGAGACGTCGTACAGCACGCGCGTGGACGTCATGTAGCCGCGCTGTCATGCGGCTCGTAGAGACCGTACGGCGCGCGTCACCGTATGTATCCGGCCTGTCATCGCGTGGCTCGTAGCGGAACGTACGGCGCGCGTCCATCGTCATGTAGCCTGTCATGGGCGCATCGTCAGAGATCCGTACGGCCGCGCGATCAGAACGCATTAGCCCCTGTCATGAGCGGCTCGTAGAGACCCGTACGGCGCGCGGTGCACGTCATGTAAGCCCTTCATGGCGCCGTGAGAACGTACGGGGCGCGTCACGTCGATGTAGCCCCTGTCATGGTCGCTACGTAGTAGACGTACGGACCGCTAGTGATGTCGGTCACTCAATGTAGCCCATGTCATGGGCTCCGTAGAGAAGGTAGCGTCGCGCGATCAGGGGGGGGGGGGGGGGGGGGGGGGGGTGCGACGTCATGTTAGCTCTGCTGTCATGGCGCTCCCTAAGACGTACGGCGTCGCGTGACGAGGTCATGTATGTAGCCCCCTGTCATGGGGCTCGTGAGAGACCGTACAGGCGTCGCTGACGTCATGTAGCGCCGCTGTATTGGCGGTCTCGTGAGAGAACGTACGGGCGCCGGTGACGTCATGTAGGCCCCTGTCAGGGCTTTCGTAGATACCAGTACGGCGCGCCTGCGTCACTGTCATGTGGCCCTGTATGGCGCTCGTAGATACCGTCGACGGCGCGCGTCACGTCATGTCCCCTGTCATGGCGTAGAGACGACGGCGGCGTCCGTCGATTACCCGCTGTCATTGGCGCTCGTGAGACGTAGCGGCGCGTGCACGATCATGTAGCCGCTGTCATGGCGCTGCGTAGAGACCGCGTGACGGCGCGCTGAGCAGGTCATGTAGTGTCCGATCTGGCGCTTAAGAGACCAGTACGGCGCGCGGGCAACGTCATGTAGGCCCCTGTCATGGCGCTCGTAGAGACGCGTACGGCGCGCGTCAGCGGTCATGCTAGCCCCTGTCATGGCGCTCGTAGAGACCCGTACGCGCCCGTCAGCGTCAGCTTAGCCCCTGTCATGGCGCTCGTAGAGACCGTACGGCGCGCGTGACGAGGTCACGTCATGTAGCCCCTGTCATGGCGCTCGTAGAGACCGTACGGCGCGCTATTCGTCGCGTAGTAGTGCACGTCGAGGTTCTGCGGAAACATCGCCATCGTCAGCGGATGCTGCATCGCCGCCGGCGGCGCCCCCTGGTGCTGAGCGGGGAAGTTCGCGTGCGCGTGACCCTGCGGCAGCAGCGCCCCCTGGAAGTGCGAGGCAGGCGGCGCCGCCGACAGTGCCGCGGCCGGGTCCGGCTGCTGCTGGTGACTCATCGCCATGGAGACGTCGTGCGCGACGGGCTCAGCGAGCGGCAGCGCCACCTGGAGGACCGTCGTCGTCGCCGCCGTGCCGTGATCGAACATCCCCGCCGTCGCCGGCGCCCCCTTGCTCGCGGCCGCCCCCGCCGCCACCGACTCGGTCGCCGCCGCCGCCGCGTGTTTCTTCATGTGCCAGTTGAGGGCGTTGCGCTGGCGGCAACGGTAGTCGCAGAGCTCGCAGCGCAGCGGCTTCTCGTCCGTGTGGATGCGCACGTGAACGTCGAGGTGCTTCTTCTCGCGAAACGTCTTCGCGCAGCCGGCCCACGAGCAGCGGATCGAGCGGTCGCGGCGCACGTGCCGCGTGCGCACGTGGTTGTTGAGGATGCCGCGGTAGCGGAACGTCTTCGCGCAGCCGGCGTACGGGCACGTGAGCGCCTTGCCCGCGCTGTGGATCTTCACGACGTGGCTGAGCATGTTCGCGCGGCTCTTGAACGTCTTGCCGCAGCCCTCGGCGCACGGCGTGCCCTCGTAGTCGGCGTGCGTGCGCCGGTGCCGCTTCAGGTAGAGCGCGTTCTTGAACTGCTTGCCGCAGCGCTCGCACGGGATGCCCTCGTCCGAGTGCAGCCGCCGGTGCTGCAGCATCGTGTTGCGGTCGTAGTAGCCGTGCCCGCAGATCTCGCAGACGAACGAGCGCTGCCGATTCTCGGCGTGCACGCGCGCCGCGTGCTGCGCGACGCTCTGCCGGCTCGCCGACGTGAACCCGCAGCGCTCGCACTTCGCTGCTGCACCGTCGCCGCGGTGACGCAGCGCGTGCGCGCGCAAGGAGCCGACGGACGCGTAGCGGGCGCCGCACTCCTCGCAGACGTGCGCGCGCTTCTCGCCGCGGCGGCCACCGTTGCCGCGGAGACGCGTCTGCGTCGCGCGGCTCCGGTGCACTGCACGCTTCCGTCGCCCTGGCAACGCGTAGCGATGCACCTGCACGGCGACGGCGTCGTCATCGTTCTCCGGAGAGGCGGCGGCGTTTCCGTTCGTCGCGCTGTCGCCGACCTGCAGGCAGACGTCTGCGACGGCAATCGGGCCGACGCCGCGCACGTGCGTCGCCTCGGGTGATGCGCGCTCGTCGCCCTCGTCGCCGTCCTTCGCCGGCCGGCCCCCGCGCTGCTGCATTCTCGGCCGGCCGAACACGTCGTTGATTTTCACCGTCGCGTGACGTGGCGTCGCCGCGACGACGGCGGGGTTTCGCTCGCTGTTCGCCGGACAGTCGTTAGCGATGTGGGGTGCGCTGCCGCCGCCACCGTCATCGTTGGCGTACAGCTGGCTGGAGTCGTCTGTCGTCACGGTTTTGTCGCTCGGGCGAGAGTTGCTGCCGAGTTTCTCACTGAGATTCAGTAGATAGTCGGCGAATGCCTCGTCCGATGTGAAGCCCAGCAAAAGCATCTGCTGCTGCCACCTTTTGGACAGGACGGCACTTACCTGTATGTGCACCCTGTGAGAAAAAAACAAAGATAGTTGGACACACTAAAAATTTAACGCAGGAGCGGAACCTATAAGTATAAGAAATTTATCAATTTCCTTTATTATAGCACCTATATATACAGTAATATGCATAAGGTAGCAAATTTATGGCTTATCAATTTTATGTATCATATCTACTACATATTATATATCATATTATTTCACTGTACTAAAACACCATGTTATGGTAAATATAAATATATACGAGGTCAATAATTTTTAACCATCGTCTCGGTATTCCATCTAGACAGGGTCCAGTGCGATTGCTCACCTGATCGTATAGTCTGCGATGTTTAGCAACCCTTTCGTGAACTCCTGGTCCGTCTTACATGCAAACTGCTGCTTCAATCTATCCCACCGCTGAATGTTATGCCTCCCTATGTGACGCCGCACGAGCTCGGCTTTAGTACGAATCTTGCTGGCAGCTTTGACGGGCAGCGGAGGTGCCGTGCCGTCCTGCTTCTTAGCAGTACATCGTCGAGACCGAGTCACAGAACGCCCGGCGGTCGACGCGCTGCGACCGCGGGGCGGGCGGCCACGCCTCCTCTTCACTGGCGGCATTTCTGGACCCGCAGCGATTGAAGACTCGCACGACAGCGGCACCTCAATGATCCCCGTCTGCAGATCCGTCTGAAGTCTGGACACATCCTCAAATTCATCTGAAAAACGATAGCGGCATGACGCCGAGTGCCCACAAAAACTAATCTCTTAACAAACACACACGAAGATCGGAAACAAGTCATGGGTTTAAGTCTGAAACACACCCAGTCCTGATTTTGAAAATTTTGATTTCTAGTCAAATTCATAACGAATTAGCCAAGGTACTCATAAGATATTAGGCCAAACAAAAAAATACCTTTGGTTCGGGTCACATGGATTGTGAAAATTAGGGTAGGTATAACATTTTTTTTTTCCTGCAAAAACATGGGTAGGCAGGAATATAATATTTTTTTTCACAAGTTAAATATAGGAATATAGGAATATAATTTGAACGAGCGAGTAACCGAAGTGTGGCACAGCGCGTTCCACAGCGTGTGCGCATGCAAAATGCATCGATCTGAGGCGTGTGGAAAATATCACACGTGTTTGATATTTTCTTCCACGTGTGGAAGATTGAACAGCGTCTGCGGAGTGGCTGTGTAAAGTTCCACACCGTCTCTATGTAACCGACCAATAGCAGGAGGTCAAGCGAGTCAAGTGATCTTAACTTGCGGTTGCAGCGCGGCATTGAGTGATGTACAGGGGGGTGGGGCATTGTTTAAGTCGCGTTCATTAAATATGTAGGAGGTGACCACCGCTGGGATGAGCCTGAGGGCATCAGTAAAACTCTTTCTTGGAATTGTGCAAAAGCTGCAAAAGGGTTGTAGCCTGCTTTGCCACTCAATTACATAATTTAACCCATGCATCAGGTGCCATTTTGTGCAGCCGCGCGACTATTATACTTGGCAGTAATTAATTGGTATATGTGTAATAATATTGTTTGTCCAACAGAAGGGGTTGGCTAGCCCCTCCCCCCTAAATCCACCACTACACACGCACGAACGCACACACGCACGCACGCACGCCTGCACGCACGCACACACACACACACACACACACAAACACACACAGAGAGAGAGCAACGTAAAAACAACGTCGAAATGTCAACGTTAAAGCCTCACAATGCGCATCCAAACGCTGAAATTTCTCCAGTACTAGACTAGCAACTACTTTGTGGCATGCATAATCACACTACCTTATGACAAAATAAACTCTAGTTCCTCCCATTTGACTGCGCGTTCCCAACAAGAAAGAGGTGCGAAATCA